TGGTCAAGTGGAAATCAACGTTTGGAGAGCTACTCCAGAGGTGAAGGCGGAGATGCCGAGGCGAAAATGGTGGAGGTCAACAGCTCGACGCGGAACGAAGTCTGTCAAGCGGCGCTCGGGCAAGCACGACTCAAGCCGACGAAGATGAGGTGGCATCTCATCATGAAGGACGAAGGCAAGGTTAGGGCCAGACTGGTCCTATTCGGGTTTCAAGACCCCAGGCTGTCAACGATCGATAATTCGAGTCCAACAATTTCGACGCGAGGAAGGAACTTGGCACTCCAGGTGATCACCAACAAGCGCCTGCGCATCTACAAAGGGGACGCGCAGGCAGCATTTCTACAAGGGGATCCGACTGAAGCGAAGCATGATCTTAGGACCCGCCCCAGAACTACGTGAAGCACTTCAGTTGTCGGGCGAGGGGTGCGTGATGATGCTGAAGGCGGCTTGCAGACTTCTGAATGCGCCTACGGAGTGGTATGAGAAGGTTGACAGCGACTTTGAAAAAATGGGATACGTGGCAATGACGCTCGAACCGTGCCTGTGGATCAAGTACAACAAGCACGGGGAGATCGAGACAGTGATCTTCGCGCACGTGGACGACTTCGTGCTCGGGATTCCCAGCAGCGAGATCGGCCAGAAAAACCTGATGGATATTCAGAAGCTGTGCACCTGGGGATCCTGGGAGACCGGCTTCATCACCCAGCGCGGGTCAAAGTGCGTGCAGCTGGCCGACAACACTATTATCCAGAGTCTGGCCAAGGCAGCACAGAAGGTGGAATGCATTGATCTGGGCAAGGAAGAGCAAAAGCTGAAGGATGACGTGCCACTGTCCACGAGCCTGAAGTCACGATGCCGAGGAGCTCTGGGAAGTTCCATGCTCTTGGCGTCTCAAGGAATGACTTGGCTGGCTGGAGAAACGAGCATCCTGTGAGGTGAAGTCCCGACCGGGACCATAGCAACCGTCAAGCGTATCAACAAGTTCAGCCAGACCGCTCATAAGACCTCCTGGATCAACATCACCTTCACACCCGTGAACAATCCTGTCCTTGTTCGGTGGCATGACGCCGCGTGGAAGGTAAGGGAGTCTGGAGGTTCACAAGGTGGGATGATCATGGCCGTGGCGGAGAAGTCGGTTTTGGACGGACATCGTACGGCAGTTTGAGTGGTACAAGGAGCTTCAAGAAAACTACCATGTGTGGCGAGAAGTTCACTCAGTGCTGAAGTTCAGATGGGGACTATTTCGAACGAGGCTCGCCGGGAGACCCATCAAGCATCAGGAGATCAGCGGGTGCATCCAGAAGGTTCCAGGGGCGTTGGTTACCGATTGCAAGGCTATGTGCAACAGCGTGGTGCGAGCATGCTCTTCAGGGCATGGCTGCAACGACCAGCGATCGGCGATCCAAGCCCTCGCGCTGAAGCAGAGCATGAGGTCATCATCTACAACACTGCGGCGGGTGCACTCGGAGGCAATCATTGCCGACGGCCCCACCGAGCTGGAGATCCCAGCGCTGCAGGTTACTTTGAATTTATACAGCAAGCAGATTTGGGCCCGAGTGCAGGATCCCAGTCGTACGCCAGCAAAGAAGAGGAATCTCATGCGCAAAGAAGTTCTGGACAGCATGGATAACGCGGACAGCAGGCCTCCCGTCATTCCGAGTCTCAGTGGCTCGGACCTCGAGAGTGACTTCGAGGATGAGCAGCAGGACGGCCAGCAGCACATGATGAGCCACAGTCTCAAGTCTCACACCTTCTCTTTTGCAGCTCTGTCTCACCCCGTCCACTCGTTCTCTCGTTTCAGGGCTGGAGATTTACAGTTTGCATGATAGGGGAGCACTGAACCCCCCGTGCCGTAGAAATCGCTATTCCAAGGGAGAGTTTCATAGGATTTCGGGACCCTCCGATCCGGTACCGTTTCAACGTTTCAAGGAAACGTTTCAGAGAAACCTCCGATCGGATTCCGTAATTGTATTCAGTGCTCGAGCTTGCTGTGCGCGGTTTCATATCAGATACTGATTTGGCTCGTGAACGCCCACCCTTGTCCTGAAGAAAAGAGTTACTTGTCCCATTTCATTATACAGTTCAGTTGGTTTCGACATCGACTATATTTACGAACTCTTGCGAGTTACCCCGACGAGATTGACAAGAGGCGCCCCCTCTCTCCGCCCTCCTCGCAGGGGTCGTAGGTGGGGAGTGTTCCAAGGCGGGGTGAGGTAACATACCCAGCTGGATACTCACATGCCATTATTTCACAACCAACCGTTTCGAACGATTTTCCTCTAACCCCACCTTTGTCCCTTTCCCACCGCTGAGTCCCCCCGACTCTCGAAGTTGCTTTGCTTTGCAACTACTGGTGTGGTGCTTCTGTCGCGGGCACTGCTGTGATATGTCGCCCCTCACAGCGGTGCTGACGAAAGTGCGATGGAGCACCCACCAGGTTTTTGTTGATCACCGGGCTTGGCCCTTCCGCCGAAGACCTGTCTTGGGTGCCTTACTATCCTGTCCTACGTATCCTTCGCCCCTCTCCCTCGCTGTCTTCCCCGAATCCTCGACGGTGCCGCTCGCCGCATTTCGAGTCCCCGAGCCCCTCCCTAGTCCCCAGACCTCCCCCTGAAAATGGGTCGACGCGGAGATCTCCATACGTGCATATCATCCCCTAACGTTTTCCAGAGTGAGCGTCTTGGTGCGAGTTTGAATTTCACTGGGCGACGGGTATTGCGAGGACGGCGGCGGCTAGAACCAGGGCTTCGCCCGAGACGCCATCACAAGCTGCTCTGAAAGCGGAGGTGTCATTGGAATCGAGCAGGCAAACCGCCTGAGACAATCCCCAGGGTCTTCTTTGAACGCATGAAGCATCTGCCAAACTAACAAGCGAATCGCGATGAAACCAGCGCCTCGCCCCTGGAAGCACACAAGTCCAAGCCACCTAACAGGCAAACCGCCTGAGACATCCCCAGAATATGAGCCCCTTGCGGGTGCTAGAACCAGCGCCTCGCCTGAGACCTCCTCACCATCTGCCCTGGAAGCACGCATGTCCAAGCCACCAAACCGGCAAGCCGCTTGAGACATCCCCACAATTTGGGCGCGAACGTGCGAGTGTCAGAGCCCCCCAGCTGCTTCCCATTTGGGAGTGCTACAACCAGCGCCTCGCCTGAAACATCTTCGTCATTTGCTTTGCAAACACATGCAGTCAACCCGCATAGTAAGGATGAGCAACTTTCAAAGGCTACCCTTGCATCCTTGCCCATTCGGCCCATCCTTGACCCCTATCGCTGGCCAACCTCGTTCGAAAAACGTTAGCATGGCCCTTCAAGGCTCTTGCATCCTCACCGCGCATCCTTTTTCTACGGGTTGATTGTAGGCCCAAGCTACCAAACAGGCAAACCCAGCGAGACGTTCCCACAATCTGGCCGCGAACGGGCGACTCCCTGTCGTCTCCCCCTGGGAGTGCTGACAAACCAGCGCCTCGCCCTCAGACTCTGCTCGGAGAGCACACGGTCCAAGCCACCCAACAGGCAGAACCGCCTAAGACATCCCCACAATCTGGGCGCGAACGAGCGAGTGCCATGCCCACTTGCGGCTCCCCCTTGGGACTGCTGAGACCAGCGCCTCGCCTGAGGCACACAATATGCCCTGACAGCGCGCAAGTCCAAGCCGCACAGGCAAACCGCCCGAGAGATCCCCACGATCTGGGCGCGAACTGGCGGGTGTCATACCCCCTGGCGGCTCCACCTCGTGCGTGCTGAACCGCTGCCTCGCCTGAGACATCCTCACAATCTGCTCGAACCGCACACAAGTCCAAGCCACCAAGGAGGCAAAACGCCGGACACATCCCCACGATCCGGGCGCGAACGGGCGAGTGTCATAACCCCCTGGTGCCTCCCCATTTGGAGTGCTGAAGCGGCTCCCCTCTGGGTTGTTGAAACCACAGCCTCGCTGGAGATAACCTCACAATCTGTGAGTCTGATTGCGAGTGCGTCGTCAGGCTGCATGCGAGTGAGTCTGAGTGAGTCTGAGTATGAGTGACTATGAGTGTGAGTCGGTCTGAGTGTGAGTGATTCTGAGTGTGAGCGAGTCTGAGATGAGTGATTATGAGTGTGAGTGAGTCTGAGTATGATTGAGTCTGAGTACAAGTGAGTCAGAGTGTGATGTGAGCCTGAGCATGGGTGAGTCTGAGTGTGCGTAAGTCTGAGTGTGAATGAACCTGTGTGTGAATGAATGAGTCTGAGTGTGACTGGATCCGAGTATGAGTGTGTCTGAGTATGAGCGAGTCTGAGTATGAGCGTGTCTGAGTATGAGGCGGAATGAGGGGGAAGGTGAGTGAGGAGTCAGGCCGAGGCGTCTGAGTAATAACACCCACCCATCTTAGAATATTGTGAAACAAAAACGTAACGACGGTCTTTTGCTGTTTTCAAGCACTGGGGGCCCTCACTTCTGGTCCTCCTGTTATTTTCCTCATATCCCCCCGTTTTCCCCCTCGACACCCAATGTCTTGGAAACTTGTTCAGTGCGGGGTCCCCAGAACTTCCGACCCTTTCCCAGGATGGCTTCTCCTGACGCGAGGGCCCCCGAAGACCGAAAAGCGCCAGAAGCCGCCCGCTCAGATGTTTCTCCACGCCGCGAGGATGCCTGCCCTTCGGGTGATAACTCAGGCCTTCGGCTGCCTTTCGGGACGATCTGGGCACCCCTGGAACGCTCTCGGCGAAGCGCAGCTGCTAGAAAGCTACCCGAGGCTCGAAGACCGCCAAGGACCGACGCGAACACGCGACACACCGTCTGGGCTCCTGCCTTCCCGCCTCCCCCCGAGCCCTCCCCGCCCGCGGGCGGCACCGGGGAAGCCCGAGGCGACAACCATGCAGACCGATGGCGCTGCTTCGCAGGCGGCCCCAACACGGCTCCACCCGGCCATTTCGGCAGGACCCGCTCCGGCACGCCATCCCCCCCGGCAGCCTTCCTCTGAGGCCCCCCCCCCGCCCCGCTGGCGGGGCGCTCCGCGCCAGGAGCTGCCGGCCTTCCGGGCCGCGCATCCGTCGGCGCAGCCCGACCGCGACGCCTGAGGAGAGGCGCGGAGGGTCCCCGGGCGCATGCCGCGCTCGCGCGGCTGCGCGGCATGCGCCGAGCCCTGGGCCGCGCGCGCGAGGGGGGCGCGAGGGGGGCGGCCGAGGTGGAGGAGGTGGAGGAGGAGGCGGAAGAACACGACGACACGACGACGACGACGACGACGAGGACGACGAAGACGAAGACGACGACGACGAGGAGGAGGAGGAGGACGACGAGGAGGAGGAGGTGGACGACGACGACGACGAAGACGACGACGACGAGGACGACGACGAGGACGACGACGAGGGCGTCGACGAGGACGACGACGACGGCGGCGGCGACGACGACGAGGGCGACGACGACGACGAGGTCGACGAGGACGACGACGACGACGACGGCGACGACGACGACGACGACGACGACGACGACGACGACGACGGCGACGGCGGCGGCGACAACGACGAGGGCGGCGGCGGTGACGACGGCGACAACGACGACGACGATGACGACGGCGACGACGACGAGAACGACGACGGGGGCGGGCTTAGTCCCGGGCGTTGCGATTTCTTTACACCGCGTGCTTTCGCCCGGCCGCCGGCCCCAGGGCCCTCACACGTCGATCTGGCTCGAGGGATGTTGCAGAAAGGTATGGGCCCAGGACTTCGGCGTTTGGTGCATATCCCGCATTGTTGTACTTTTTCGTGACGTCGGATCTCGGGGCTCTAAGAAGGCGGCGGGTTTCTCAACACGGCTTGGGTGGTTCTGATCTGAGAATGCTTCGCAGAGTCCGGGAAGTCTTCTGAGGAGCCTCCTGTCCTCTGAGAGGCCCTTCAGGCTTCTGGGACGCCCCCCCCCCTTGCTCGGGTCGGGCGAAAGGGGGGGATTGGGAAAGGGGGGGTTACGAAATCTGCTGCATGCAGCTGGTTCCGGCCCCACCGAGGGGCCCATTCCTCGATACATAGCCGCTTCCGGCGCCAGAAGGCGCCGGGAAAATCAGCTACGTGAGCTGATTCTCAAACCCCCCCTTTGCTACCCCCCCCTTTTGCCCGACCCGACTTGCGCAACCTTTTTGCGCACACCGCCAGAGGTCGGGGGGCGTCAACCGACCACTTCACCGATCCTGGCTAGTTCCATTCTGGGCCCAGGATCGGCGCGCCCTCAGATAGGGGCGGCGCAGCAGCAGACCGCGGCGGCATTTCGGCCTGGAGCGTCTTCGCCCAAGTGGGGCCGCTTCCCGACCCCTGGACCGTGAACAAAAAAACAGCGCGGGACGAAAAGCCGGCCTTGGGGGAAAGGGGTCGAGATCCTTGGGGGGTCCTGCTACCGACCGAGGTGCCCCGCAGCCTAGCAGGGGCGTCGTCTCGCCTGCTCCCTCGTCTCGTCACCCACTTGCCGTGAGGCACGCTGCGGGAAGGGCCTCGCCTTCGAAGGGTCGAGAAGAGGACGTCTATTTCTTGGCGGGGAGTATATCGAAAGGCGGCGGGTGCGCTGGCTGAAGCTGGTGTCGAGGATGGAAGTTTCTGGACGTCTCTGTGGGCTCGTGTCGTCCTTCCACAGGAGCAAGAAGGCATGATTATGATGCGTTCCAAAATTTCCAGGTTCTTGTGGACTCTACTTCAGAACTCTTGCAATGTATCCTGTACCAATCGCATCGCTCGAAAAGCTTGCCAGGCTGGACTCTGGGAGGGGCCTGGGGATCGTCTTTGAACGGAGTCTGTGCGACCGCCTCGCATCGTAAACAAAATCACGATAGGAGCAGGCTTCGGGACCGACAATGAACAGTTTAAGATGAAACGCCGATCCTGGGGAAGAGGTCCAGACCTCCAGGGCGCATGCTGTGAACATACCACGACGTGCGGAGGGAGCTGGACTCTTCTCGTCCCTCGTCCAGGCAAGCAGATGGCCTGTGACGAGATGCAGGTCCCGGTGAAAAGGGAGCGAGACCGCCAAGGTTGGACGCTGGCGGGGGTGTGGGGGGTGGGATCGAGGAGTGTGTGGAGGTAGGCCCCAGAGAGGCCTCGAACGTCTCACAAATCGTGGTGGGAGGGTGCGCCTTATTTTCCCCGCCCCCCACGCCCGAAGGGCTCCAAAGGCTCACGCACGCACGCCCGAAGGGCTCCAAAGGCTCACGTCGTGAGCACGGCGAAGGTCTGGGTCCCAGTTTGTTGCGCTGCCGCGCGCATCTGCCACGGCGCCATCCGCCGACAACGCTGGTGGGCGGGCGTGGAGGATCGGGTCGGGAGGGGGGGAGATCTCAGAAGGGGGAGTTGCGAAAGCTGCTGCCTGCAGCTGGTTTCGGCCCCGCCGCCGCGCGCATGCCGCAACGCATTTGGGGCCTCTGGCGGGAGGCGAGGCGGCGGGAAATTCAGTTACGCGAGCTGGTTCGCTCCCTCCCCCTTTGGTCTCCCCCTCCTGTGGTCCGGCCCGAGAGGGGTGGAGGGTGGTCACAGGCGTCGCAGCCGCCATGGAGGAAAGGGTCTTGAGGGAAAGGTCCAGGGCGATCGATGGAAGTACGTAAATCTTGGGGACGAAGACGAACGGCAGTTCCTGCTCGTTTTGAGCAGGACTCATTGTCGGCGCCGCTGCTGGCGTCGTCCAGTTGAAACATGAGGTCGCCTGTCCAACCTCGGCCGATGTCGGTTTCATACAACGCTTGCTCATGGGCATTGGGTAATTCTTTGGCCCTCGGGCCGTCAGACAACAACTCGGGATGAGCAGTTTGCCCCATGGGGAAGCCCTGCGGTCCAGGACCCGTTTCTTCCAGGACTCGTCTCTTTCATGTGCAGAAATGGGGATTGGCTCAGGAGATGGAACAAGCCTCCCCGGGATCGCGTGGTTTCGCCGTCGGAGGTCTGTCGCCGATCTATATTTCGGGGCTTTCGGCCCTGATGGAGCAATCTTCTGGCGGTCTGGGCAGTCTTCGTCTTCGGGCCGTGTTGGGGTCTGTTTCAGCCCTACGGGACCTTGTTGGGGGTCTTCGTCGACGTCTTATATGGGCACTGTTGGCAAAACAGCGTAAGACGCGAAAGACATCGAAGCCCTTTACTGGATCTCTCACTGTGGTGTTGGCCTCCCATGGCCTTCCTGGGGAGCTCCAGGGACCGACTTGAAACCTTCTTGAAGACTCTTTGCATCTCGCGCAGCGTCTGGGAGCCCCCTGGAGGTCGTTGGGCCGCCGTCGGCTTGTCTTCGGGGGGTCTCTGACGCCCGTCTTGGGTGGTTTGGGGCCACTGTGGACGCCAGAGGCCCGAGACCGCGCCTGGGGTGCGCGAGTCTGGGCCGGGGTCCGCGCCGACATTCGAAGAAGCGCAAGCATGGATTCAGGCGCGAGTATTAGCGACAGGTCCCGATTCCACACGAAGTCGACGCGCTCCGCTGCCAAATCGGGCGGCTCTGGCGCCACGTTTTCGCGGGTACCTTGCTCGAGCCATGGGTCTTGCGCACACGCACGAGGTCCACGGATCTGCAATCCGTGCATGTGAGCGTGTACCCCAGAAGAGGGAGGGTCGCCTTCTGAAAGTTCTAAAGCTCTGCGATACGATCAGCAGGCTACGTAACACACCCCACAGCGTGACGAGGGCACGGCGGTGGATTCCTGATGGCCAGGCTAGGGCTTCCGAGGCCATGGCTTTTGAATATGATCCCGCGGGACGCGCGGATTGCGTGGATCGGCGCTGGACCTCGATTTGGGCCAGGGCCCGATATCGGGCCCTGGGACCATCGGAAATGGACCCGGGGCGAAAAATCTTGCCCCAGGGACAAGGGTCGGGACTTCTGGGGCCGCGCATTGAAACAGGCATGTCGTCGGATGTCTGGGGATCTGGGTGGGGGGGACCTCTTCGTGGCCGAGGCGATCGCCGTCGTCGGGCGAGGAGCCCCCCCCACGGCGCTCAGTGCCGTCACGCTCAGCTCGGCGCTCCGTGCGACGTCACGATGGTTGTCCGGTGGCGGCCAGGAAGAGCCCACGGGTCGGGTGTTGCTAGAAGTACCCCTGGCCCAAGGTACCCGAAGGATTCTCGGGGTGGCCGAGACGGCCTCCAGGGCACCCCTCACGAGGCCCAGAGGGCCCCAGGGGCTCCAAAATGGAGCGAAAAGCTGGGGGCGCCTTGGGTCAGGGGCACTTCTAGCAACACCCGAACGGGGGGAGCGAATGACGAAGACATGTTTCGGCCGGTTGGGAAGGTCGTGCCACAATTTTCCCAGCCGGCCGAAAGTTGTCTTCTTCAGTCCGCTCCCCCGTGTCTTCAGTCACTTGAATCATGTACGGTCGGACCTAGCACAGAAGAGCATCCCTCAAGAAGATGAGACCCTCCGCCTGCCAAACTGAAGAACAGACATTCGAGGGTGCTCTCCCCCAGGATGCGCAAAAACATCCACGAACACGAAGAACATGAAGCACATCCAACACCCCCTAACCGACCTCGATCTTGTACCTCGGTCCACCGTACTTGATCGTCCTCTCCACCACCGTTGTGGAGAGGCCGATGAAGTAATCCGAGCGGCGGTGGCGGCGCCCACGAGCAGGGTCCGCTCCGCGCCGCTGCCATCTCGGGGCGCACTCCCAGCAAGAGGGGCCTTCGGGGAGTCGGGGAGTCCACTTAGCCTTAAGTCAGAATGTGCAGAGTTCTCCTTGCAGTCATGTTGCCACACACGCACTGTCCGCACGTTCCACCTTCATCCGGGCGCTTCGCAGGTCGCAGGACGCAGTTCGCGGCGCGCAGGTCGCAGGTAGCAAGGGTCGCAGGTCGCAGTTCGCAGGGTCGGGGAGTTCGCATCCCGTACCTCGGCGAAGCCCGAGGAGGGCTGGCGGAACATGGCCAGAAGTAACACGCTAGCGGCATCGCCGGCGGGAGCGGGTCAAATACCGCGTGTTGTCGCCCGCTCGTTCATGCAGTGTCACCCCTGTGGCTCTTTCTCCCAGGCGCTTTTGATTCGCTTTCGCGATCTCCTCCCATCAGCGCTCAGCCATTTTTGGCAACGTACCCGTCCGCGTGCAGGGAGTCGCACGCTGTGTAGG